AGTATTCCTTTATATGTGGTTCAGAGTTCTGGGACCAGCCCCTGAGCCTGCTTGGTCCAGTATTCTGTGTTGTTGTTGGCGGAGCTCCTTTACTGCATTTCCACCCGATCCACCATCTTGTTTGTTCTCTCCATAGGATTTTCCTTGGCTGGTTTTTCAGATGTAGATTTGAGGTGCCTCTGAGTGGACTTGAATCTCCAACCTTTCCATGAGCAGTCTAGTGTGTTAAATTTGTTTGCCATTCAAGAATTCCAGAGTGCTTTTAATACCTTGGCCTGGCCCTCACCCCACAGCGCACCCCACATACATGTGGCTCAAGAAGGAGAATGGTGAATGAAATAAATGCACCAACATCACATTTTCGAAACAGATCTAGATACTTTTTTGTCGGGGACCGGCCTCGACTCGAGTGTTTGGGTCACGAGGAGGGGATATCTGGCGGTGACAGGGATAGCAAAAGAATACACAGAAAGACAAAAAGAGGGAGACAAAGAGGCACTCCGAAACCAGGATGGTTGCATTACTGGTGTCCGGCAGCTCTGGCGTGGTGAACATATTAGCCATAAGGGCACTAAGGTCCTGTATGGTAAACATCTTAGCTAAGCGGGCAGTATGCACCCCTTACTAGCTGATCAGTAACACATGCCTAGTCAGCCGCACAGCTTGTTATCCAATCTGTACTGCACACTTTCACTGCCTGCCTGTAATGCACACCTGGGCCGGCCTGCGCCTCTGTTTTATTTAGGGGAGGAGCTTCACACCAAGCTGGAAGGGACTAAGACAAGGTACAGCTAACATCAGTAATTTTCCAGACATTCAGGTAACTTTACATAGTACTTCACTGGTTCGAATCCCAGGCCCGCAACTTGGTTTCTCGGGCTCAATTAACATATCTATAGCCCCTGAGCTCAGTTGGAGGAAGGTGAGAGGGAAGGACAAAAGGCTTGGGAGGAGTCCCGCTGTTTTGGCTTCCTGAGCCAGGTTTTCAGGAACTTGGCTGAAAAGTTTGCACCTGGGACAGATTTAGGGAAGATGGCTTTTTTGTCTCTAGAACAAAGGACAGGGAAGTAGTCAGTTAATCCTTTGGAGAAAGGCTTAACCTTCAAACCTTTACAGTCTCGGCTTTAGGAAATTATTACATTTATCTGTGGATACTAAGGGCTCATGTTTGGAATTAATAAAACATAACTGAACACTAAGGTGAAAAACAATTTGTTATGACTACCCAGTGGCCAGAATCTGTTCCTCAAAGCCTGTGTCCTGCATTGTCTGCAACACTCGGGCCCAGTGGGCCTAGAACTTTTGACCAGTTTTACACGGTCTGCAAAACTTTTTGCTTTGGAAACTAGAGCAAAAGTATACAAGCTAATGTTCTCACGGATTTGAGTTGAGTTACAGAAACCAACTCTTGCATGCTTTTTTCTAGGTACTAGAACAACACTGTGTTTTAATATTTAAACTTTGGGAACATCATCCAATAATTTTAACTCATTTGCCAAACTTCTAATTAACCAGACATTTAAAATGCCCTCCATCCCCCCCATAATCAAATCACTTGGGACATGTCTGAGGACATTTTGGCTCTTTTGCTATTTAGGTATCTTGAAGGTAGTATAGAACATAGAGATTGATCAGAGTAAGCTTCATGAGTGCTACATTCATGCCGAGTATACTTAAATGACCACACACCTGTTTGAGGTAGTATGCTGATCTAGCAGACTTCATTCTTCTCCCTAAGAAAAAAGTGAGTCTTTAGTATTCCGTTCCAACTTTTATACAGGTTGCAAAAGAGATGGAATGTTTAACTTCTTTAACTGGTGGTCCAGCTTCACTAGAACTTAGATCACATTTCTCTTTAGAATGTTTTGTATTTGCAACATAATAAAACTTAACATGCAAAAAAAAAAGAAAAGAAAGAAAGAAATGCAGATCATACATGCGGTGAGAGCTTGCCTTGGAGCAAACCAGTAGGCTCCTGACCTGTATATTGGCTAAGAATGATTTTTGATCATTCTACCACATGAAAGCCGTATTTGAAATAAAGACGAGCCTAAGGAAGACTGTGCAACAGAGTGCATATGGCCCACAAAACCAAAAGCAATTTCTTTAGCCCATCACAGAAAAAGTTTGCTAGCCCTTGGTTTAGCAGCTGGGGCTTCCTTTATAGGGGGTCCTTCTTGAGTGTCTATCTAGTCCCCTGACGCTCACCTAAGGACATATGCCTTCAGATTTGAGTCATCTTTGTCTTGCCCTTTGTTCCCTCTCCTCCCTGGTTGAGTGGCCAGTGGGTTAACCTTTTTTTCCTTCCCCACTGATAATACCTGTGGATATCTCGTGTGTCCCAGTGTGAGAGCATTTCCTTACCATTCCAGGGCCTGTGTTTGGAAGCAAAGACAATTTCCATGGCTTAGCCATCTTCTTGGACACATATCCCAACGACGAGACCACCGAGGTAGGTCCCTATTCCCCTTGCATAGTTGGCTTTGGGCAGGGAGACAGGGAATGGCTCCCAGACCAGACTGGTTGTGGAGTAACTGGTGTCTCGGTCCCAGCGTGTGTTCCCGTACATCTCGGTGATGGTGAACAATGGCTCCCTGTCCTACGACCACAGCAAGGATGGGCGCTGGACAGAGCTGGCGGGCTGCACAGCTGACTTCCGCAACCGGGATCACGACACCTTCCTGGCTGTGCGATACTCTCGGGGCCGCCTGACGGTGAGCAGGCTGAGGACTGGGCACAGGCTTGGGTGCGTGGGTGGTGAGCTTGGGCTGTGGGCGTTTCTGACCTGCCTCCTGCTGCAGGTGATGACTGACCTGGAGGACAGGAACGAGTGGAAGAACTGCATTGATCTTACTGGGGTGCGGCTGCCCACCGGCTACTACTTCGGAGCCTCGGCTGGCACTGGCGACCTGTCTGGTGAGTGGGGGCTGAACTAGAAGTTCATTCTGTCTCCATCTTTTGTGGTCTAGCAGGAGCTTGTGGAGTCTGCGCATTTAGTTTCCATACTGGCCAGTGTTCTTCCTCTCTTTCACATCACCTAAATGTTAGAGTGGAGCATCCTGGTGCTTAGTCCTGGAGGCATCCTTGGTGATTCCCTGTCTTTAGTAGGTGCCAAAAGGTTGTCATCAAGTCAACTCTGAGTCTGTCCCCAGGTGTGCCAGAGAAGAACTGTTTTTCTACTCTGGTTTTAATGGCTGTGACCTTTCAGAAGTAGCTTGCCATATTTTTCTTCTGAGGCACTTTTGAGTATACTTGAACCTCTGATCTTTTGGTTAGAAACTGAGAACTTATCCTGTACACCACCCAAGAGCTTGCATTTAGGAGATGTTTTGTTATTGTTAAGTGCCTTTGAGTCGGTTCCATCCCATTGCGACCTTGTATATGTTTTCCAAGGCTTTAAATCTTTGCAGCAGCAGAAAGCTCATCTTTCTCCCACAGAGCTGCTGGTGGGCTTGAACCACAGACCTTGTGGTTCATAGTCTAGCACAGGAGCAGTGGTCCTCGTCACTCCTCTTCTCAGAATTCTGTGAGGCTCCCTGTCTCACTCAGAGTGAAAGCCACAGTACCATGTGCCCCCAACTCCCTTCACCCCATCCTCGTGGGCAGCACTCACTGACTCCTTGCGTCTGTGGACAAGGCCAGTCCTCACTGTTCAGCCCTGGCAGGCTGTCACACCCTCATCTCTCCAAGTCTTGGCTCCCATGTCACTTTCTTAGGGGGCCTTCCTCAACTCCCTTCTTCAACGCCGCATCCTTGCATGCTTTCCGTCACCTTTCTGGGTTTTTTTTTTCTTCATAGCACTTACCATCTTGGAATCAACCCGCAATTCATGTTTATAACTTTTAATTTTTTAAAAAAGTGCTTGCGTTTCCCTCCTTCCCCAACCCTAAATCCTAAAGTCCTCAGAGTCAGGTTTTTGTCTCATGTCATGCCCAGGGACTGAGGGTGTACCTGCTCCTCACTGGCCCAGAGACCCTTCGTCCTCTTGCTCAGAGGACCTGGAGCTGACTCTTGCTGACCAGAATTGGGGAAGCATGTGGAGGACCAGCCACAGGATCTTTTATCCTTAGGATGGGTCTTTCCAGTGCCTCTTGCCACAGAGGTCTGCGTCCACCTGGTCCTCATGATGTACGTGGTTTGGGGGCTTTATACCCAGAGAAGACACTTGGGTTATATAACCAGAGAGAAGAGTGTAGTACTGAGCACTGCCTGTTCTGTCACCAGCTTTGTGATGATCAGCTCATGCCTCCTTCCATCGCTGTCTCTGACTACTTAGAATTCCTCCTGGTGGTTTTGTTGGTGGGTGTCTTCTGAGGTTCCTTTTGGGGACAGAACCGGGTCTGTGGTAGGCAGATGCTCTCAGAGGCTGGTGGAGGAGCCATGAGGATAGTTGTGCCTGGCATTAATCGGGTCCTGTAATCTACTTTGTCAGTGACAGTCGATCGTTGCCAACCCTGTGAAGCCTAGCTCTACTCTGAGTCACATGGGGCGCCATGTGTCAGAGTCATATGATAGCACCTGGAGAGGTGGTCCGGCACCACGTAACGTACGTGTAGTCACCTCTGTACCCTTCCGAGCTAGGTAGTGGTATGTTTTTTTTGCAATGATGAGAACATGGAGAATTGGGGGCCAGGGGGAGGGTACAATTTACCCGAGGCCACACATCCAGATGCAGCAGAGCTGAGTTGTGAACTTGAGTCCGACTCCAAAGCCAGTACTTTCCTCCTATGCTCACTTGAAGCCTCTCTTGGGACTGTGTGCCACCTGGCTGTTGCTCAACTCTGCCCTAGTGTCGCTTCCAGATCGGTGTTCTCTGGGTTCTCCCTGTTCCAAGCTCCAGATAGTCCTTCTGTTAACAAGACTTTTCTTCAGCTTCCGGTCACTCAGAGTCAAGCTGGCCTGGGCCTCAACTTCCTCGTCTGTAAAATGGGTAGTGAGTTAGTATTACGCTTCCATTTTGAGGTGGAGACTCTTTCTTGCCTATGCTGATCGAAGCTGAACCTTTCCCAAGTCTCAGGCACAATCACTTACCTATAGGCAATGGCTGAGTGCTTGTCTTCATCCCAAGCACCAGTTCACTGTGCTTGGGAGGATCCGACTCTCTTGCTAGTCACTGGACAGTTGTGCTGGTTCTTAACTGGTTCCTGTTTCTACGTATACACATGCCACCAGGCAGTGCATCTTCCATGTTGCATTGACTTTCTCATTTTCTCCTATGGTACCCATGCAAAGTGGAGATTGTTGTGAGTTACTGTTGTATAGATTCGACTCAAGATGATCTCACGTGTGCAGAGTGGAACTGCTCCATAGGGTTATCAAGGCTATGACCTGGAAGCAGATCTCCAGGCAGGCCTTTCTTCTTAGGTGCCTCTGGGTGGGTTTGAGTCACTAGTAGTTGATTGCCCTCATTTTACACACAAGGAGACCGAGCCTCACAGAGGGAGCCTGACTTGGGAATTAGACCTTGATCATTTTGATTATAAAGTCCTTGCTCTTTTCCCTCCACTCTGCCCCTCCTGAGTATCTGTTGCCGAGTCATGACTGTGGTCCAGTGCTGGGAGCCTGCCCTGTGCTTCCCCCGAGACCACCAGTCCTGTGGCCAGGGCAGCAGCTTCTCTTTGGAGAAGGGGTCTGGTTAGGGTCCAGGCTCACCCCACACTTGCTCTGCCTCTCAGATAATCACGATATCATCTCCATGAAGCTGTTCCAGCTGATGGTGGAGCACACCCCTGACGAGGAGAACATCGACTGGACCAAGATCGAGCCCAGTGTCAATTTCCTCAAGTCTCCCAAAGGTATGTGTGTCCCTTCCCTCCCGTGGGGCTGGGTGGCCCTGGCCTTGGTCTGAGGGTTTGTGGGGCAACCTTGCTGATTATGATTAGGTCAGCCCTGGTAAGGTTTTGAATAATGAATACAGTAAAAGGTAGTCTCTGAGAGGCTGTCCACCAGGACATCTTTGCTTTGTGAGTTCTGTCAGGACAGTGAATCAGCAGGTGGCTAAGCCCTGGTGGAATTCCTGTACTGGCTAACTCACTGAATGACCTCATATGAGTGGAGGGAACAGAGTGATCCACAAGATTCTTCAGGTAGAAAGAGGCAAGAGGCACGATTTAAACCTGGGTTTTTGCAACCCCAAAGCTGGGACTGTTCCCATGCCACTTACTCAGCCCTCGCACTGTCCTCATAGCAGAGGTGCTGGTAGAGATCCAACCCCCAAATCACTCTTATGCTGGTGGCCCAGGCGCCCAGGGCTGTGGAGGGCAAGGATGTCCACCTGCTTTGCCACTTCAACTGCCCCTTCTCTTCTTCCTCAGACAACGTGGATGACCCCACAGGGAACTACCGAGGCGGGCCTCTGACAGGGTGGAAGGTGTTCCTGTTGCTGTTGTGTGCGCTGCTGGGCATCATCGTCTGTGCTGTGGTGGGGGCCGTGGTGTTTCAGAAGCGACAGGAGCGGAACAAGCGTTTCTACTGAACAAGCGTGGAGGACACTCAGCTGGGGCCAGGCCTGGCCTTGGGCTTCAGGCACTAATGTGAACTTTTTGTACTTGGATTGTACAAGAAAAACAAGACCACCTTATTTCTTAACTGTTTCAAAGAAATAATTAAAGTATTTTCTTACATTTTGCTTCTTGCCCAGCCAGGACAGGTGGCAGGGCTGGGGAGTAAGGATTTGGTTGTCCCCACAGCTGGCGACGGGGGGGCCCCCGTTGCTGGTGTCTCAGGAACAGGGTTGGGGTTGGTGCGGGAGCTGGGTGAGACCCCACAGGCCCTGAAGGACTTTTGTTGGGGCCTCGGAACATGTGCACTGATTCTGTGTGTTTTGGCCACAGAGGCCTGAGTTGAGGGATCTGGGCTTTTCTTTTTACCCACTGAGCTTCTTTACAAGGCAGGCCATGGAATGGGGCTTGGAGGAGCGCTCAGTGGGGCTGAGTATGACCATTTGCTAAATAAAGTGAATTAATTAACCTTAGCATGTAACTGTCCTATGGGCTCACCTTTTCCTTTTCTCTTGATTAAGGTTGAGGGTTTTTTTGCATTTAAATGTTTTTATTAATAGAAATCTTTCACTTGTTTTATCTATTGGAGACCTGTAGAAGTTTACGCAATCACACAGTGGGGAGATGTGTTTCAGATTAGGAGCCAATTTCAGCCCAGCAGTACTGTCTTGGAGAATGACAGCACCTTACCACAGGTGGGTCAGCCCAAGCTCGGGATGGCTCTGTTACTGCCCTACATGGGATGCATGGTGTGTATCAGGGAGAATGGGGAGCTCGATCATACGGCCTCTGTTTGTTGTCACCTGCCCCAGATCTGTTTTATCTGGTACTTCAACATCATTGTGGTCACCAGCCAGCCAGTGCCATGTCAGCATTCTGGTGTTGAGACCAAGAGGCCCACAGTGGGCCTGCAGATGCCACTGCCTGTAACCACCCCAACCCCCTTGCATTTAAGGAAGCCAGGCAACAGAGCAAAGGTCCAGCATAGGGTTGTGCAGGCCGATTTAATGAGGAACAACAGGCTGAGATCAGCCATGACTCACAGTGGCAGGAGGCCATGCAGCAGCAGGGCGGAGACTTGGGAGCGGGACACACGGGCAGTCAGCAAACCACCACTTGGGAGAGAGAGGTGGCGCGTGGGCCCATGAGGGCCTTCCTGTAGGTTTGCACACAGAGCGAGGAACCCCTGTGGACAAAGCATGCAAGGTGCATGGCATTCCTCTCTGGCCTTGCAAACAGGGTCCAGAGAGGTCTGGTCAGTAGGAGGGGTCTACACACTGACTTGGGGCGGTCAGATGGGGGCACAGGTAAGTGTTCTCTTGGCTCATCGCCGGGGTGGTATCCTCAACCCTAACCTTTTCTCCAGGTCAGCCTGTTCCTATGGGGTACACACAGCCCCTGAGGTAGGTACTGTGGAGCCCAGTTTCACAGGTGAGAACACGTGATTCTCAAGGGCAAGCAAAACATGTCCAGTGTCACATAGCAGTAATGCAACAAGGATGAGTTCAGATGGCTCAGCTGCACTCCTGGCTGGGCCTATACTACCTGCAAGTGCTCTGGGCATCTTGGGAGGAGCTGGTGTGGGCACCACACACAGGGAGGGATAGACCTCAGTCCAAAGTGTGAGGCTGCTATGGTGGCAGGGGAGAGTGAGGGACTCAGATAATCTGAAGGAGCTGGGGGCCAGGAAGACAGATTGGAGTTGGTAGTGATGTTTGAATTGCCTTGGGGGACAAATATACCAGGGATTGGAGAAAGCCGGCAGCTACAGGGAGGGACTGTGACTGGGAGTGTCCCGTCCTGCCATTGTCAAGCCCAGAACTACCTAGCATGGGTCTGGCTTCTGTCACTTGCTGAGCTGACGGTGCTCCTCTTCAGGGCCTCCTACCTGCACCACCATCACTACACTTCTGGACTCACTGGACCTTCCCTGAATTCTTCAACTGCCTCCCGGATCCTGTAGTTCCCAGTGTTGGCTGCACATTCACTTGGAAATGAAAAACTGTCATTCTCAGACTCTGGGGCAGTCAGGCAGGGGAGCCTGGCCAAGGGCATTTTCCAGAACTCCTCAGGTGGGCAACCCGACTGGAGAGCCAGAGGTTTCAGGCAGGATTTTTCTGGACAGAGATGGAAGTGGTCATGCTGGCCTGTCATTGGGCAGTGTGGTGCCTCCTCCCACTGGAACAGTCCAATTTGCACCCAGAAGTTAATAGTTTCAAAGTTCACACCCAGAGGTGTTGTGTTGGGACATCCTTGTGTCTTAACAACTGCATTTTCTCACTGGATCATAGAGTTCCCACTTTCATGCCATGTGCATTTAAAAATGGAATTATTTCTTCATTTGAAAGTTAAATATAAATGTATATCCATGTACCTGCAGTGCTGTGTGAGAAAAAAACCTTGCCACACACATGGGTCTTCTACCTTTCCTCAATGTTGACTTTTTAGGCATTTCTTAAACATTTCACCACAGAGGTGTATATCCCTAACCACAGTGTTTTGCCTTTTTAAATACTAAATGGTATACGAATGTATTCCTTAACTTCTGAAACAACATTGTATATATTTGGTTTTCCTAAGTGAGTCTTACTGTTGTGGTTTGTTGTGCGAATGGGCTTTAAGTTTATTCTTTCTGCTGATGGAAATTCAGATGCTCCCAGTTTGGGGCCCTTAACACACATGCTACTCTTAGTATACTTGAGTGTGGGTTCATGCCCAAGCATGTCAGAATTGCTGGGTTGCAACCTACCCTGTGCCCAGTTTCACTAGATGTTAACAAACTGCTTTCCAAAAGTGGGCTGTGTCTGCTCCTCCTGCCACAGTAAAGAAGATGCTCTGCTACACACTTCTTTTTTTAACTTTTTATTGTGAATTGACTGAAGGTTTACAGTCAAGATCATTAGCTTTACATTTAACAAATCATACATTTTGTTTCATCTCCATGATTACATTTCCCTCCACCCAACAACAACCATCCTGCTTCCTCCCTGGGGTTCCTATTTCCATACCCCCCACCTTGTAATCCCTTCTCAACTTTGTCCTTAGGAAATTGTTGCCCTTTGATTTTAAATGATTGACCTTTCCATGGTGAGCAGACCTTACTAAAATGCTGTTGCCTCCCTCCCATAAACCTATCTACTGTTTGTCTGAAAATTGGGCCACAAGAGTGAGTTCCTTTCTAGATCTGAAGGGAGGTTAAAGGCTAGTCACAGGTTCCTCCAGTTTCTTTCTGACCAGTAAACCCAGACTGCTATTATTATTAATTTTTTGTTTTGTTTCACATTTTCTCCCACTCGATCTGGAACCCTCTAATGTGAACCTGATGAGGGAAGTTGGTATTGAAAGTCAGGTACTGTGTGTTCTGATCTCAGTGTTGTGCCACATGAGATATTGGAAGATTGTCAAGTTTATACAATCTGATGGGTGTAAACATTTTAATTTGCTGTTCTTTACAAATCAGGTGTGGTGCTGTGGGTTAATGCGCCAGACTGCAATGCCATTTGAACAGCAAGGTCCACGGTTTAAGCTCACCAGCTGCTCCTTGGAAACCCTATACAGGGTCGCTATGGGTCAGAACCAACTCGACAGCACTTCACAACAAGAAGTCAGGTATAGGAGCCCTGGTGGTACAGCAGGTTAAGTGTTGGACTACTAACCGAAACACTGGTGTTTGAACCCACCTGTCGTTCTACAGAAGTAAGGTGAGGCTGGCTGCTTCCATAAAGAGTTACAGCTTTGGAAACCCTATGGAGCAGTTCTACTCTGTCCTACATCAGGTGTGCATCAGGAGTGACTCAATGGCAGTGGGGTGTTGGTTTTAGTCAGGTTTGGATTCCTGGTGTGGCGCTGTAGGATCAGCGATGGACTGCAAACTGCGAAGTCAACAATTCTAACACCAGCTGCTCCTCAGAAACCCTATACAGGGTCACTATGAGTCGGAGTTGACTCAACAGCACTTAACAACGGGTTCCTCTGTGGTTGTTTACTTTTTACTTCTTTTTCTTACTGATGGGCACTCTTGTGACTGGTGGGTGAAGGGGTGTGGGGCAGCTAGTGCTTCACTTGTCAGGAGGGCTGCTGGAGGATCCTTAACTAGCTCTAGCACACGAGAAGGATGTCCCTCCTTCCTGCTTTTCCCCTTTCATCCTCCACCTAGCACCTCCAAAGGGCAGAACCAGGAAGAAGCCTACTGATTTAAGGGGTCTAGGAAACAGTGTGCACCGAGTATAGAAATGTGGGTCTGAGGCCCAGACAGGATCCATGGAATCAGGCCCCTGGCAGGACATCTGGAGTGGAACTCAGCCCCTCTGGGACCACTCCTATAGATGCATTTCAGGTGGGGTGGGGGCGGGGAGCCTTTAAATCACAGCCCAAAGCATATTTAGGAAAGCTTGGTCAGGGGAGAATCAGTTACAGATGAGAAGGGAAAGAAAATCAAATCATATATCAATTTAGGAGAAACTTTGTTGTTATTAAGTCCTTGACTCAGTTCTGATTTGCGGCAACCCTATATAGAGATTTCCGAGGAGCAGCTGGTGGGTTTGAACCACTGTCCTGTCAGCAGTCCAGTGCTTATTCTACAATGCCACACCAGGTCAGAATTTGGGAGGCAATCAGATCTTATGGAGAGAGAATATTAGGAAGAAAAGTAGTGAACCCTGGATCCATGTGGTTGAAGTCACTCACAGAGGTGCAGGTGATGAGTACGTTAAGCAGTGAGCTAGGCTGCATGCCCAGCAATGACATGTGCTCAAGGTTACAGCACTGGGATTGACAGAACACTCTAGAAATCTACAATCATGCACTGGGATCCTTTTGATGTCTGTGGTACCTGACCTCACATCATCCTGAGAGAAGTAGAGCAGGAAACCAGCAGAAGGTATTTTGGTTCCAAATTGCTATTCATTTTTTAAAAATATTATTGCAAAAACATATTTTAGACATACTTTTCTATTCCCTTTTCCCCAGTTCCCATATCCTATGTCTTGGATTTGTTATTTTGCTTCCAAATTCCTTTGTGTTTGATAATGGTTTTTTTTGCTTATCTTTAGTGTTGTCAATTGGAAGTCACACATAATGTGTGTTCCTTTGTGGGTGAATTTTTTCACTTTCTGGATG